GTACTACATTGTTTATAATTACGCTACCATGGTCGAGGTATGTATATTCAGGATCCGCTCGGAATGGTCGCCGGTCCATTCTGGGTTCTAGTGGCCTTAATCTGCCCACTAAAGTGTGCACATGGTAACCGGTATTATTTTGCTGGCAGATGTTCATGTTTCAGTTACGCGACTTATGTCGCGAGATCAGACCGGTATCATGTTTCATGTTTCAGGCTTCATGTTTCAGTTCAGTTGTATATGCTTAGTTCATGATATGGTTATTATTTATAATGTTTTACATTAGCATGAGTTTCTGCGGAGCACAAGTGTTTTAGTGCTCACGCCCCACATCTTTCATGTTTTTCAGGACGCAGGGTCGGGGATGAGGAGTGAGCGGGCGAGCTGTTCAGGATATTTGTGATTTATGTACTTGTATTTTGCCACGCTTGTTTCTGCTAAACTTTCAGAACTTTTGTCAGAATTTTTTCCGGCGTCAGTCGGATAAGACTTTAAAACCGATTTCATGTATCAGTTTAAGACTTTATCGGTATTTTAGAAAAAATCAAGTTTTCACGGTAGCATCCCGAATCAGTTTTCGCAAAATAAATGTTTTATTCAGAAAATTTCAGTTGTTTGCGAAAAATCGCGTACTCTGATGTATTTAGTTCAGGCGGGGTGTTACATTATTTCTTCTGCTTAATTGTCTTTTCAGATTTTCAATTAAACATAATAAGCGAACTGCCCTAACTTTTGCGTGACCGCCCAATATTGGGTTTTCGCTCACCGGGCTCTTTATATAGCCATTTCTTTTCGCTGGACCGCCCTTGTGGGTTTTCAATCCAACAGGCTCTTTTTTTTTTATAAAATGTGAAATGAATATGAATGAACAAATAATGCAACTAAAATATTTTATTGCCTTAGATAATTTGACAAAAGAAATCGGCTTAGGCCGTTTTTCAGACAGCATGTACATATAATGTGAAAATTCATTACTCATTTTCAGCATCTAAAACATAGAACAACATGCCCTAGATTTGGGACAAAGGTAGTTTGTGGTCTGAAGATATGTATCTCGATTCTGCGATGCTGCTCTGCTTTCCTGTCGATCAAACCACCCTTGTGGGTTTTCAGTTTAAGATGGTCTCAAGCCGCCTTTGCAGGTTTTCAACTTGTGTATTTTATTGCCATTTATTTTCTCGTCAGGCCGAGCCGGCAGGCTATTTTTTGTCTTTATTTTTACTAAGTCGCTGTTTTCCGATTTTCAGCTTGTAAGACTCTTTGTTTGCCATTGCTTTTCAAGCCGACTCTGATCTGATAGGCTTTTTCTTTTTTTATATGTAGTACAGCTTTAGCTTGTCGATGTTGACGGGGCTGAGGAACTCGTTTCCGTCCATGTCTGTGATCTCCACTGTCCCTTTTGACAGAACCTTCTTCACTACATATGGCCCGTCCCAATTTGGTCAGAACTTGCCCCTGGGATCAATATGGGTCGCTCTTAACTGTTTCAACACCAAATCACCTTCCTCAATGTCCCGTACTTGGCCTCTGACTTTTTTGTTGTATACACGAGCTAACCTCTGCTGATATCTTTGAAGACTTTTCAGGGCCTGCAATCGTTTCACATCAACTAACATCAACTGCTCATATTTGTTTCTGGCCCATTCAGCTTCTGGTATCTGAGCTTTTAAAATAATCCTCAGTGATTTCAACTCTGTCTCGACTGGCAATACCGCTTCCATCCCATATACCAAGGAGAAAGGAGTGGCTCCTGTAGGTCCTCGGATGGAAGTTCTGTATCCCCACAAGGCAAAGGGCAATTTCTCGGCCCAATCTTTATAGGTAGCAACTGTTTTGGAGAGAATCCTCTTGATGGTCTTATTAGTCGCTTCGACTGCGCCGTTGGCTTGCGGTCTGTAGGGCGACGACTTGTGGTGTTCAATCCCGTGTTCTGCTAGCAACTCTGCGGTTTCTCCTTGGAATTGTACTCCGTTATCAGAGACTATGTGATGGGGGATGCCATATCATGTGAAGATGTGGCGCTCGATGAATTTGGTCATCTTCTTGGCAGTGATACTGGTGTATGACTCAGCCTCTATCCATTTGGAGAAATAGTCTACTGCAACGACGATAAACCTATATCCGTTAGACGCTGATGGCCAAACTTCCCCAATGATGTCTATACCCCAAGCTGAGAACGGCCACGGGGTGGCATGCACTTGCAGCTCGAGCGGCGGCAGATGAGGAACATCTCCGTATATCTGGCAGTGGTGACACTTCTTTATTGGAAATGGTGCATTCCCAATTAAGATTTGTTGGTAATGAAAATTAAGGAAAAATTAATTCTAATTTTGTTTGCTTAATTTTAATTAATTATTTTTAATATTTTATGGTTTAATGGAAATTAACTATCAAGCTAAGTATTTTTATTGGAGATACCCAAAGGGAGCTAAAGGACAAAGGGGAGATTCCTCAATAAATGCTAAAGATCCATATTTGACAAATTTGGCACAAAAAGACAAAAAGCATTTAAGGAAAGTGTACTTGGACAGTACGGTGGCCCCCTCTCTCCCTCAAATCACCTGCGCAGACAGGCGCCCCTCTTCTCCAACATGTCTCTCTCTCTTCAAGCATCACTGACAAGATTTCAACAAATCTGTCAAATACGTTTTGCTTCGAAGAAAAAGGCACAACATGTGAAAGAATTCAAAGCTCTTCAACGGTCACATTTATGATCCATGCCTATAAATAGCTGAAGCCATGGAAGAGCAAATTGCTGGAAAATTAAGAGAAAGAAACGCTGCTCGTGCTTAGGAAAGAAAGCTTCAAAAACCATTTCCAGTGAAAGGAACCCAAAAATTGTAATATCTGTGTTCATTAGAAACACTAGTGCTTCATTTTTGAATCTTAGAGAGTCATTTTCTTTGAAAAAGAAAACTTGTAAAAGGCTGTAGTAGTTCAACCATTGTTGAGAAGATTTCAAGCTGAGGACGGTACTCAACTTGAAGATCTGATCTGAAGTGAAGGAAGGTACTTCACTTGCTTGTAAAAGGTTGTTGCTCTACCTGTGAAAGAGCTGATAGTTGAAAATCTCAAAGGACGGTACTTTGAGGACTGGACGTAGGGAAGGTACCCGAACCAATATAAATCTGCTGAGTATTTATCTCTAACTTAAGCTGCTTATCTATTTGTATTTCCATACTGAAACTGCTTAAGTAATAACTTATACTGATAACCTCAGTAAGCTTACTTAGCATACTGAGCGCACCTTGTTTACTGATAAAACTTTGCCTAAGTATTTTTGATTTTTAGTATCCTAGACAAGCGCTATATCTGATCGAAGAATATCTTACTGAAGGAACTGCAGATCAATTATCAGACGCTCAGTATACTTTTAAAAGAAAAAGCTTATTTACTTGCATAAAAGGAATTTTCGAAAAAGAAAATTAAATTTTTAATCAGTTCTATTCAACCCCCCTTCTAGAACTGTGCGCCATACTATTCGGAACTCACAATTGGTATCAGAGCTTGTGCTCTTTTATTCTCGATCTAACCGATCTTGAGCCAAAGATCCATAAAGTATGGCTAACAACTCTACAAGGCAGCTACCCAGTAATGAGACCACCCAAATCCTACCTGAGGGAATGTCTATTACTAGACCACCCCTATTTTTTGGCCAAAATTATACTTTTTGGAAAAACCGCATGCGTAATTTCATTCAAGCATCAAACATGAATGCATGGCTATCTATCATGGATGGACCTTACTCTCCTACTGTAGAAAGGGAAGGTGCCACAATTGTAAAGCCAAGAAAGGACTGGACTGATGCTGATCTCAGAAAGATGCAACATGATGCTGCAGCCATCAATATGCTCCACTGTGCGTTGGATGCATCTGAATACAACAGGATCTCTGGGTGCGAGTCAGCAAAGGAGATTTGGGAAAAATTTGAGACTACCTATGAAGGGACAGATAAGGTCAAGGAGTCCAAGATTAACCAACAGCTTAGATATTATGAGCTGTTTGAGATGAAAGAAGGCGAGTCTATTGGTGAGATGAACAGCAGATTCGTCAACATCATCAATGAGCTGAAAAGACTCGGTAAAAGCTTCACTGAAGAAGAGCAAGTGAAGAAAATACTGAGAAGTCTTGCTAGGAGCTGGGAAGCAAAGAAGACCGCTATTGAAGAAGCTCATGATCTAAAAGTCTATAAATTTGATGAGCTGATTGGATCTCTGCCGACTCACGAAATTTCGGTAAGAAATTTTGAAGAAAAGGAAAAACAAGGAAGGTCTGAGGACAAGAGGCAGAAGGCCATTGTACTGAAAGCTGATTCATCTGAAGATGAAGACTCAGACATAGATGAGATGGCTATGCTAGCCAAAAAGCTGAAGAAAATGTTCAAGAAAGGTGGAAGAATCCACAAGAAGAAGATTCAGTTTATCAAGAGAAAGGAGCAGAAGAAGGATGCAGAGGCTTCCATTACCTGCTTTGAGTGTCACCAGCCAGGCCACATCAAAGCCAACTGTCCCAAACTCAAAAAGGACAGAAAGTTCAAAAAGAAGGCCATGGTGGCAACGTGGAGTGATTCAGAGGACTCCTCATCATCTGAAGATGAAGAGTGTACTGAGACAGCCAATATTTGCTTCATGGCTATGGATGCTGAGCCTGATGAGGAAGCTAACTCAGAATCCTCAGATGAGTCTGAAGACGAGGCTGAGAGCAGAGCCACTGAACCTCAGGTACAATTTATCTTCATGACTCCCTCTGAAATTCATACTGCACTTTTTGCTTTATATCAGTATGCAAAGAAGTCAGCAGCAAAGCTAAAAGGACTACAGAGGAGAATTTTAGAACTCGAGAAAGATAGAAGCTTCCATGAGGATGCAGTCAAGGATCTCCTGACTATAGTTCCTGGTCATGAGGATAAACTAAAGTCAGAAGAAGGGGAGATAAAGACCATCACTCAGGAATGCTTAAACCTGAGGGAATTGATTGAGGAATTTCAGAGATATCAATCTCAGAAGGAGTCTCAGAGGCAACCTTAAAGACAACATCAGCCTCAGCATGTCCGAAAACCAACACAAAGAAAACCTCAACCTCAGTACAACTAGAGGCGTGCTCAAAAGCAACAGCATACTGAGAGGAAAAATCAGTATGTACAGTATCGAAGACAGCCTCAGTATGGTCAAAGTCAGCACTTGAGAAGTCAACGACAAAGTCCATACTCCCATACTGAGAGACCAGCTCAGTATCAACTGAGGAATCTAGGCGCTCAGAGAGGAAGAAACTTTTACAGATACCCCTCTGAGAGAATGAATAAGAGGCAGACCTGGATGGACAGAAGCAATCAGATGAGAAATCCTCAGTATACAGAGAGGTTGATTGGATGCAACATCTGTGGAAAACCTAGCCACCACACTAGGGATTGTAGGTTTAGGTTTGATTATGAGGCAGACTTTTATTGCCCTCCTGAAATCAAAAAGGGACCCAAAAAGAAATGGGTTCCTAAACCTAACTGATATCTGATTTGCAGGTTGGTCTGAGATGCATGGACAAATCATCAATGTGGTATATTGACAGCACATGCTCAAGACACATGACAGGTGATGAGAGCCAGTTCATCACTCTGAAAAGAAAAAGAAATGGCAGTGTCAGCTTTGGAGACAACAACAAGGGGAAGATCATTGGATGTGGATCTGTTGGAACCAACCCAGTGATTGAAGATATCTCACTGGTCAGAGGACTGAAATACAACCCACTGAGTGTGTCTCAGTTGTGCGATAAAGGAATGAAGGTCGTATTCGAACCATCAGGTTGTACCATTCTTAACTCAGTCTCCTCTGATAAAATATTATTTGCTCCCCGTGTTGAGAATGTCTTTATGCTTGATCTGAGAAGAAAATTCTCTCAAGACATCTGTCTTGTCTCTCGAACTGAGGACTCTTGGCTATGGCATAGAAGGTTGGGACATATAAATATGAACCTTCTATCCAAACTGGCCAAAAAGAAACTTGTGGATGGATTGCCTAATCTGAATTTTCAAAAAGATCAATTGTGCAAGGCTTGTCAGTTTGAAAAACAGCACAGAAAAAGTTTTAAACCTAAAACTGAGATTTCTACAAAACGTCCACTAGAATTATTGCATTTGGATCTCTTTGGCCCAGTACAGCCTATGAGCTTAGATGGCAAGAGATATATCCTTGTAGTAGTGGATGACTTTTTGAGATTTACATGGGTAATCTTGCTCAGTAGCAAAGATGAGACCCTCGAAAAATTTTCTGTGCTTTGCAAACAAATTGAAAATGAAAAAGATTTTAAAATCTTGCATCTAAGAAGTGATCATGGTGGAGAATTCCAAAATCAATTGTTTGAGGAATTCTGTGAAGCCAAGGGCATTAGCCATGATTTTTTAGCTCCTCGCACACCTCAGCAGAATGGTGTTGTAGAGAGGAAGAACAGAACCCTTATTGAAATGGCTAGGACAATGCTTGCTGAAAACCATCTTCCTAAATATTTTTGGGGTGAAGCTGTCAGTACAGCTTGTTATATACTGAACAAAGTCTTAATCAGGTCTAAACTGAAAAAGACCCCCTATGAGCTATGGAGAGGGCGAAAGCCTAAGATTGGTTATTTCAGATCATTTGGATGCAAATGTTTTGTTTTAAACACAAAAGACAACCTTGGCAAATTTGATTCTCAAGTTGATGAAGCTATATTTTTGGGCTATTCATCACACAGTAAAGCCTACAGAGTCTTTAATAAAAAGTCAAATACTGTGGAAGAGTCAATACATGTAGATTTCGATGAAACTAACCATGCAGATTCAAGAGGAGAATCTGAAGACTGTACTGAGCTCAAAGCCACACTGACTGGAGTAAAGCAACTCAGTCAATTTGATCCCAAGGAAGATCCTTTAGTAAAGGAGACTACCCAGGCTCAGTCCCTTACTGACACTCAAAGAGATGCAAATCAAGGATTGCCTAAAGAGCTGAGGATCAGAAAGGAACATCCCCAAGAGAACATCATTGATCAAGTCAAGAACAGAGTTATGACAAGAGGTCAGCTCAGTAAGATGATTGGAAATGTTGCATTCGCCTCCATGCTGGAACCCAAAATGTTTACTAATGCTGAGCATGACGAATACTGGATGAATGAAATGCAAGAAGAACTTGATCAGTTCAAGAGAAATCAGGCGTGGGATTTAGTTCCTAAACCCAAAGGGAAATCTATGATAGGAACCAAATGGGTGTTCAAAAACAAGATGGACGAGGCAGGGAACATCATCAGAAATAAATCCAGATTAGTAGCACAGGGCTACAATCAGCAAGAAGGTATAGATTATGGTGAAACATTTGCACCAGTGGCAAGGTTAGAAGCAATTAGAATTTTATGCTCATTTGCCAGTTTTATGGGTTTTAAACTATACCAAATGGATATTAAAAGTGCTTTTATAAATGGCTTTATTGAGGAGGAATTCTATGTCAGACAACCCCCTGGTTTTGAAGACCATCAGTTCCCTGACCACGTTTTTATACTAAAAAAAGCTTTATATGGTCTGAAGCAAGCACCTCGTGCTTGGTATGAAAGACTAACTAAATTTTTGATGACTAAAGATTTTCACAGAGGGAAAGCTGATATAACTCTGTTTATTAAAAGAAAATCTGATGATATTCTGCTTGTACAAATCTATGTAGATGATATTATCTTTGGCAGTACTAACGAAGATCTATGTAGAGAGTTTAGTGATCAAAGGCAGGCTAAATTTGAGATGTCTTTAATGGGAGAGTTGAATTTCTTCCTTGGACTCCAAATCAAGCAAAGCAAGCATGGAATATTCATCAATCAGTCTAAGTATGCTAGAGAGGTTCTGAAGAAGTTCAGTATGGACAACTGCAAACCTATCAGTACACCCATGGCAACAGGTACCATATTGAATGAGGATCCAACTGGTAAGTCAGTAGACACTAAGGTATATCGAGGTATGATAGGCTATTTACTTTATCTTACTGTAAGTAGGCCTGATATACACTTTTCAGTTTGCTATTGTGCTCGTTTTTAGTCCAACCCCAAGGAATCTCACTTAACTGCTGTTAAGAGAATCCTAGATATTTGCACAGCTCAGTAGAAGCAGGGATATGGTATCCAACCAGTGAAAATTTTGAGCTTCATGGCTATACTGACGCGGATTATGGGGGAGACAGACTAGAAAGAAAGAGCACATCAGGTGGATGTCAATTCCTTGGCGAGAGATTGGTTTCTTGGTTCAGTAAGAAGCAAGCCTCAGTGGCTTTGTCAACAACTGAAGCTGAATATATTGCTTCTAGAAGCTGTGTAGCTCAGGTCCTCTGGATCAAGCAGTAGATTGAGGATTATGGGATTCAGATCAAAACAATTGAAGTAAAATGTGACAAGAATTCAACAATTGATCTATCCAAAAATCCAGTTCAGCATAGCAGAATGAAGCATGTCAGCATAAGGCATCACTTTATTAGAGATCACGTTCAGAAGGGTGACATCAAGTTGAGCTTTGTCCCCTCAGAGGAACAGCTAGCTGACATATTCACAAAAGCACTGAACAAGGAACAATTCAGTATACTGAGAGAAGCCATTGGAATGACGGATCCAATTCGGTAAAGAAAGCCACCTCACCGGTCCAGGTATTTTAAATACTTGCACCGACGTGTCTATGTGTACTAATAACTGCTACATCTGACATTTATTCACCCAAGGGGTGAAGTAATGATGAGCCCGTTCAGTAACTTAACAGATAAGTTAGCTGAAACCGTTAAAACATAGGTGTCTACGGTAACTTTTAAAAATTACCGTTACTGTCAGGGTAAATTAGTAATAGCATAGGGTAGTTTTCTTACTATAAAAGCAACGCGCCTGTACAGTTATCGTCTTCTACCTTTGCTATCTTTGCGAAATTTTCTCTCTCTTCTGCAATTCCAAATACCCTTCTTTTCATCTCTCCAATCTATACCCTAACCATTCAATGGCAAGAACTAACAAACCCACTAAGTGGAAGGCAGCTGCGAAAGGAAAAGGACCTGCCCCTACAAGACCTCATGGAAACGCTTATAGACTCTATGTCTTTAAGCCTAAAGCCATGGAGTGGGAGTTCGTTAAGGCAAACGATCCCTTTAAAACCTGGATTAAAACCCAAGGATGGGAGATGTTTCTCAACGTGCAGAAAATTACCTATGTAGAATTAGTTCAAGAGTTCTACTACAACATGGAGATTAAAACAGATGTGCCAGATACCTCCGTAACAACGGTGAGAGAAAAGCAAATTGAGGTCACTCCTCAGGCAATCGCTGAGATCTTTCAGGTGAACCTAAGAGGTGCTGAGTTGAGGGTGGCAGGGGACGAAGCTAAGATTAGGGAGTTTAAGCCTAATACCTACCTGTCTGAAAAACTCCAAGGGGAGATGTTGACCAAATTCCTCCATCAGAGGGCAAGGTTTGCTCCCCACTTGGTCATTTCATACTTGATACCGAAGAAGTCCAGCAGGAACTCTGTATCTATGTTTGAAAGATGCCTAATGTGGCATTTACTGAAGAATAAAGAGACCAACGTACCTGTGCTCCTCATCAACTAAATGTTTATCTCGAGACCATATCTGCCATATGGAGCGTTCATCACAGACATACTGGAGCATTTCAGTATCCTACCTCAAGATGATATGACTTGCATAACCCCATCAATACTCACAGCCAACATTTTCCTAAATCTGACGTGTGATCAAAGTGTGGATCCACTCAGTCCAGTGCTGACATAAGGGACAACTTCAGCAAGACCTGAAGAAGCTGAATGCAGTAAGAAGAAGGCTGCAAAAGAGGTGGGTGCCTCTGAGAAAGATAAAGAATTCCTCCTTCAGAAAGCATCGAAGAAGCTGGAATCTGCTCTTCTACAGAACCTGAAAGCAGCAAGAAGACCCAGAACTGACTTGGGAAAAAGAAAGAAGTCCACAGTAGAAGAGTCTGACACTGAGTCAGACAAGATTCTGGAAGTGCCAGAAGAAGATGATGAAGAAGAAATTTCT